GAACAGTCAAATCGTGATTTTATGTAGTTTGGGGATATGATATGATATGATCATGATATCCAATCCAAAATGATATCCAGAATCAGATTATTAAACTTTGGAAAAAATAAAATAAAATAAAAAAAGTTAATCTGAAAGTGGGGTTTTTTTTAGGTTGAATTTTGTTTTTACGCCAGCTTCCACTTGGGATTGCGTGTGAGGGAGAGATCTTTTGGCGATCTGCTTCTGCTTCTGCTTCTGAAACCCTCTTTTTGCCTTTTTCTTCTTTAAGAAACCTGCATCCATCCGATCCGATCCCCTACCCTTCTTTATTCAAAACATTATTAACCAAATTAATTATTAATTATTCCCCCTCCTTTTATTTTGCCTTTAAATATTCTTTTCTTTTTTATTTCTCAACTTCGTCATCATTTTATTAATTTAAAATGAGTTTTTGTTTCAGTAAAATGCATTTTTAGTCTTTGAAGTTGGTGAATTTGATTTCTAATTAATCTTTAAATTAAGTTGATCTTTAATCATCATTTTGCTAAGTAGTAAAATTCTATCACATCTTCGTTCCAAGTCAACTAATTGTTTCTTTTTTTTTTTCAAACGACATACAACTTCATTAATAACCAATTAAATCATTTTCAACTAACAAATAAAGCGAAAAAAGTTGTTTGTCTCCCGAAATCTTCATTGCCAATTTTGTATTTCTCCTCCATGATAGTTCAAATTTCATCCGCAAGTCTATAGATTTCAGTGAAATTTTAACCCAACTTTAGAGACCAAATAAAGTCTAAATTCAAACTTTAAACCAATTAAAAATTAAATTCAAACTCACTTCACTTTTGAAATTATGGATTAAATAGAAATTAAAACAAAAAGGGATTAACCATCAATGAAATATAAATCAAATCAAAATCTAGATTAAACAAATATTTTACTATTTTTTTTTTGTACACTAAACAAAAGTATGAAAATGAGGATTTGAACATCTAGATGTAGTTTAGATATAAGCTCATGTGGGCAATTTTGAGATGATTTTCAATTAAATGATTGAAAAGTAATAAATCTTTTTTTTTATCTCAGTTTGATAGATTTAATTTTAACTTTTTAAATTGGATCTGTAAGAGAAATTATTTAATTAATCAGGGTTATTAGTTTAGTTCTTTTGTCTAATTTATTGTTTATTCTAATTCCGATGATAAATTATTGTTTTACTTCTTAATTTTGTTGTTAGAATTTGATATTTTAGTAATTGAAATTGAATATTTTGTGACTTGATCTTAGCTGGTTTATTAGTTAAATTTTGTTTGACCATTTTGAGTCAAATACATATTTAACATTTTAAAATTTTTCATAATTATTTTGAAACACGTGTGTATTTTTTAAAAATAAAATTCAATAAAAATTATTGTTCCAAGTAAAATCACTCTAAGACAGTCTTAGATTTATTTATTTTTATTTTGAGAAGCATTATATTTACTTGACAACAATATAAATATATGCAAATCTCAAAGATTCATAAATATATGCAAATCCAAAAACAATTAATTGACTCTCCCTCCCTTTTTTTTTTCCAACCAGATCTTCGTTAATGGTTATGTCATGGATAAAATTAGTATATTATTTCGTTTTCAATTTGAATTCTCAATTATCTTCTACAATATAATAATGGATTAAATAAAAAAGTTAACCTATGAAACATCATTTTGGGCATGTATAGGCTTAGTCTAGGTTGTATGAATCCACTAAAGAGGCCCAACATGAAAATGATCACATGGATGAGTAAAAAGTATTATTGTGTGCAATAAATAAATAAATAAAAGATTATTGTGGAAATAATTAAGCAGAGTAGTAAATGGAAAGAATTAATAATAATAAAACTAATATATTTGCAATTACGTATAGCAACATGAATCGCAATATAAAATAGTCAAAAGCCAATCATAAAAAAATGTTGGCATTCTCCTCTTACTATAGAAAGAGACTTTTGTGTGTTAAAAAAAAAAACAGAGAGGATTTTGTAATACAATAGTTTTAATATAAATCTCTTTTTAACCCTATCAAATTAGGCCAAACCAGGTTGGCCTAATAATTAAGTGATAAAAAGTAATAAGGGTTGTTTCTTCAACAAAATGATTCGTAGTCCGATTCGGTTAGGTCAACTATCAGTCAGGTTTAGATGATTGTGACTAGTGACTCGGACGAAAGAATACGTGCACAGAGAGTAGACACTCTGATACTTAAATCAGTTTCAGGTATGATTTGAATGAGAGGTCGAACAAGAATACGTTATCAAAGTGTGACCTCCCGAGTCGAAAGCGTAGCCTACCATTCTTTTTTTCGCAGTAGCATGGGTCTGATCATCTCTGCTCCAGCAACAATTATTAAATGCATATTAAAACTAGTTTAACTAGTAATTAAAAATAAATAAATAAAGGCAACACCGAGGGCAAAACAGTCATATCCAGAGACAACAGAGGATTTTCAAAAATCGTAGGCGCTCTTCAGTTTGAACTCGAATCACGCTCCCTCCTTCCTTCAACGGTTCTCCTTCAATCTTCTGTTTAAATCTTTTGCGATTCCCTCCAATTTTGAACTGCAAAATCAATCTTCTCCTCAATCTGCAACTCCATTGCTTCAACCATGGCGAATCTCCATCTACCCTACATTCTACCGGACTCTTCCTCCGCCTATTCCCGGAAGCAGAAATCGCTCGGCCTCTTATGCTCCAAGTACTCTCTCTCCCTCTCTTTGTTTCACTGTTTATTCATACTCTGTACATGTTCCTCATCATCTCAATCTTCTCTTAGTTTTTTGAGATTGTACGATCGCGATGGTGTTCACTCGATTACCCTCGACGATGCTGCCGTTCGGTTGGGTACGTTTATTTTTCCTGATTCTGTTTTACTTCGCCGCATCCTCAAATTTTGAAAACTTTTTGCCGTTTGCGTTTTTTGCAGGTGTTGAGAGGCGGCGGATCTACGACATTGTCAACGTTTTGGAAAGCGTTGGGGTAACAATTTGGTTACAATTACTACTGTTTTCTCTTCTTAGGTGCTCTGTTGTTGATATTGCAATTTTTTTGTTTGTTTGATCTCAGATTCTTGCTAGGAAGGCCAAGAATCAATATAATTGGATAGGATTTTCAGGCCTCCCTAACGCATTACGGCAACTCAAGGTGTCTCGATTGTTTTTTTTTTGTTTAATCTCTTTGTAATTAGCCTAATAATAAGTGTTTTGTTGTTAAACAGGAAGAAGGTTTGACGGGAAATAGGTCAGGCATGGATGCCAATGACCACTCAAAAGTAGGTCGAACTGTTATTATAACTCTCAATTTTCTGTCTTAATGATAATGATGTTATGGATTTACAAACCATTTTTGGTATTAGATGTGGGACGATGAAGATGATACTCTAGGATTTTCAGATCTAACTTCTGTAAGCCAGAAGTCAACCTCTGTGACGTCTAAATCTTCAGAGTCGGTGAGAAGTGGTAGACTTCTGCTAAGTTCTATTTCAATTAAATTTGGGTATCATTTGAAACTGAGACTTCTTACTTTTTATCTTCTCTTGTTCGGCACCAAGTTTGAGGCCAATTTTGGATTTTGAATGTGTTTTTTTTTCGGATGGTTTCAGAAAATAGGAGGGAAAAATCTCTTGCACTTCTTACGCAGAATTTTGTCAAGCTCTTTGTCTGCTCTAAGGTGAGTCAATGGAGAAGATGGCTATATTTTAATTTAGGTTTCGTTTGATAACTTTTTATCCATGTTTGTCTGTTATGTTCTCTATCTTGAATTTTAGGGGAATTAAAAAAAATTGAAACAACTTTTTTAATCAAAAACTAAAATGGTTATTAATTGTGTTTTTTCCCTATTTTTAGTGTGTAAATGAAAATAGAAACTCTCCCGCAGGCACATTTGATTTCACTGGATCAAGCTGCAAGATTACTGCTAGGGGATGCACAAAGTATATCACTAATGCGAAGTATGAACTTTTTTTTGGTGAGATTTAAATTTTTTTCTTTTGTTCAGTTTCACCCAGAGTAGGTTATGAGCTTATTTCTCGTTTATGGTTACAACTTTACAGCCAAAGTCAGACGTCTTTACGATATTGCAAATGTTTTAGCATCAATTCATCTTATTGAAAAGGTAAATCAGCCTAAGTTCCTTTCTTTCTTTCATTTTTTTTTCTATATAATTAACTTTTCTTTAGCTACTTGTAAATGACCTCACTTCACATTTTAAATCAGACGCATACCGTTGAAACCAGAAAGCCTGCATTTCGATGGCTAGGATTGAGAGATGAAGTTGAGAATCGTCACTCTCGAAAACCGATTCCATGTGATTCTAATAAAAGGACGTTTGGAACCGATATAACTAACTTCAACTTGAAGAGAAACAAATTGGGATACGCACTTGATCTGAACAAGAGCCCCAATGCCCTGATGGAAAAACATGTCAAACTTGAGGGTTGTGGAACTGAAGTTGATGGGCGAGACAAATTGGAAGGAAATCAAAATTCCAAGAGCTTCAAATTCGGAGCCTTTTGCCCCATTGAAGTTAGAGCTTCCAAAAATGGAGAAGCGAAACGGGATCATAACCGGGAAGGCCTCGCCTCAACTTATCATCCTCGGTATCAGAACGAGGGTATGCTCTATTCTAATTTCTCTAAAAACTACTTATATAGAGTGAAGTGAACTAACTTTTTCCTTCCTGTGATTTTGCAGCTTTGAGAGAATTATTCTCCCATTACATGGAAGCATGGAGAACATGGTACTCTGAAACTGTCAACAGATCATCACTAGACATTTCCTGAAGCATCATCTAAAAGTATATTATTATAGTCATTCCTTTTGGTGATTGATTTTTGGAGCATGGGATGCTCATATGTTGGCTGCACAGCAAGTCCTGGTCTTTGGAGGCTATTTTTCGGGTATCCCACTACTATTGTTTCTCGGAATGGCTGTCTAGTCGATCGAGCTGAACTATCGAATAGTCAAATATGTAGCTTATTGACATATGTACTTTGCAAAATTGAATCAATGTTCTTATTACCAATTCCATACAGATGCCAATTTACAGAAGTTGAACTCTTGATGCTTCAGCATCCGTTTTTAAAGCAGAAACAACATTAATGGGAAACAAAAATTTACTGATAAGAGAGTTCTTTTTCATAGAATTATTTCCTCTTGAACACTCACGTTGAGAGTCTTGTTGGGGAGAACAATGCTGTTTGTCACCACTACTTCGTCCTCGACCGCTACTGCTTCACCTGGATGATAGAACCGAGGTTTTTCATTGTATTAGAACCCCAACCGTGGAATATTTGATCGATAATGTGGGGGAAAAAAGCATAAAAAGTAAAAGAGTAAGACCTAGAATTGTAATTCCCCGCTTTGCATTGTAATCTCCATCAGCCTAGAAGCAACATTAAAGTTTGAAAAAAGGTTTGGAATGAAAAACTTATTTGAGTAATATCCGTGATATAGATGTATCAGCTTCTTTATGGGATGATAAAAACCCGGTAACAAGACGAAAATTTCTCAACTTACTTGGACACGAGACCATCGGCCAATGGAAGATTTCCATCCAACAATTGCATGTATGACAACTGCATTATCCTGAGAAGCCAAGAAAATTAAGCTTCAGAGTACAAGATCAAATTTTGTGCACATGAATAATAAATCCTTACCTTAATTTCAACATCATCAAGGATGATACAACTGATGAGCCTAGAACCAGCCCCGATTCGAGCATTAGCAGATATCGAAACGTTAGGGCCAATCTGTTCCCGATATAGAAGAGAGGTGAGGTCAATTCGAAAGATTAAAAAAACCTTGTGCTAAAAAATATCATCATATTCGTAGTCTGCAACTACGGGGTTCAGGAAGTTACCTTAGCAGTTGGATGTACTTTCGCAGAAGGATGAATATAAACATCACCAGTGATGCTAGCGCTTTTCGTGCCGTCTCCACTTGCCAATAGGTTCGGGGAGGTGACCCGGAATTGGGCGAGATACAAGCCAGAGCATCTCAAGGACATTCTGCAAGAGTTTACAAAAAAAGATGTGCATATATTTTTGGACGGATGGAGATGAAGCTTTATAAGAACACGTGTTTAGAAGGTAAGACTTACGCAGGCGTTTTGATCTGTTCCCAGAAGTCCATTGTTTCGTACGTATATAACTGTTTCTTCCCCGCAAGAGGCGATAGGATGTCTTGATCCAATCTTACATAGTCTTTAGGCAAGCTCCTGTTAGATGAACTTTATATAATAAGTAAATGTAGTTATCAAGCTATTTTATATTATCGAAGACCCTGAGAATCGCTCAAATGGCAAAGTTAAACAGTTTTCAAATTAAAATTAGAAAAATAATTAATGCTACCAAATCTAAATACAAAATTTCAAAATAAAGAAAAGAATCTAACCTTGTTGCAGACTGGAGGGCTTCAAAGCTAGATAGTCGTCTTAAATTCGCTGCAAATTACATATAAGAGATAATTGAGAATGACAACAACCTAACCAAGTTTTGGTTATGGAGCTGAAAAAAGTTTTTCCCCTTGTGACAATCAAGTCAAAAATGGTAAAATGCACAAAATAAAGCATCTTTGAGAAGCAATTCAAAATCACACACAAGAAAACAACTTGCGTTTTTTAAAATCGTTGAGTTGTTGAATCGTAATTTTCAATCATGTAGTTGCCCCTATTACTCACCTCTCTCTTTCCGCTGCGTGGAAACGCCTTGGATTGCAGAAAATATATCTGGTGTAAATATGTAGACACCACAGTTTATGAGGTCACTCACCTGTTTTGGAAAACGAAAGCAGGGGAACAATAAGTGTAAATTCAGTCTTAAAGAGAAGCAGTGTTACCGAGATTGAAAACTTTTTTGATAGTTATCATACAAAAGTTTCGGGTTTTTCCGCATAGTGAAGTAGTTCATTTGTGGTTGGATCGGCAACCAACTCTCCAAACTGGCTAGCTTCCTCAGCAGAAACCTAAACGCAAAACAAAGATGAAGACCAACACTGAAGGAGAAAAGATAACCTAGAATGGAAGGCGACAAACTCAAAAAATGCAGCTCACAAACTCAGTCGCGTTTAACTTACCCTGATTACAAGGATTGTTCCCATCCCTCCGTAGCTTTTGTGAGCATCTGATAAAACGAAGAAACAATCTTATTGATGGTAAAGACCTTGGTGAGTACTCGATATGTTCATTAAGTGAATCTATAAATCTTAACTAGCACACCATTTACAATCATGGGAGTGTCGCGTAAATCAAAGATCTACTAGAGACAAAATTGAAAGTTCAAAAAGCTATGAGACACTTTTTAGAGTTTACATACCTAATAGACACTTCTAAAAGTTTATGAATCTAGACACAATTCTAAAAGTTTATTGACCAAACTTGTAATTTAACTCGAAAAATATGCAACCAGAAGGAAATGAATACAGTTACCTAGCATTTGTGGAAGTGGGAAACTCGAGCAAACATCACAATTCAGCAAGAAGATATGCGACTGGACACAAGATTACAGAAACATTATTGAAGAGGTCTAACATGCACCATTGGATCACCATATCTACCTCGAGATTCAGATTAATCACAATTGAAAAAAAAAAAGTAAAAATAAAAAACAAAGAACCTGTTCCTAACCAACTTCAGGATTAAAAAAAATGAACTAGAGAAGGTGAGATGAAAAACCGGACTGTCTTCCATGATCAGATCTCTGAAGTGAAAAAGTCCACCAGCTGAACCATGAGGCTTCTGTTCCTTCAGATATCTAATGACCACCACAACATCAAGAACCACCATAATAGAAATTCAACAAAGAAAGAGAAAAAGATCAAGAGACGAACATAATTTTTTGTGTAGAATTTGAAGGGAAATGGTTACCTAATAGGGACTTTCAGTTCATTAGAAATGGATGATAAATATAATGCAAATTCACGCTCTTCATAGAAACCAATAAGATAGATCTGAGCCAGGTTTGGAATCTGTACACAAACAGTAATTGTAGTATTTTGAAAAAACAGAGGAACCTCAGAGTAAGCATTCAGTAATCAAATGAAAGCTTATCCTATTGGATTTCATGGACACATACCCTTTTACAAGCAGAAATTGGGTGATGAACCATTGGTTGTCCCGCCAAAGGAAAAAGAGGCTTTGGAACATTCAATGACAGTGGTCGAAATCTAGTCCCTGTTGATTATAAGATATCAGTGAATAAAGAGCCATATGAACAAAATATTCCAAGAATATGTTTCTTGTCGGAGGAAAAAGAAAATCTGAATCCTATGAACCCCAGATGAGAAATTATGTTTTCCTTGTCGAATTAGAGCTAAGAACAGCTTCGCAGCTCAATTCAGAGCCCCCATAAGATGAACAGAATCACGTTTTGCTCGAAGATGAAGTAAAATGAATTCAGATTTGAATGTAAAGGGCTTGAAAAACTTCCCTCCTAAAAAAATTTGGGAAGAAGTTCGAAATTCATTTACCTTTAGTAGGACCGCCGACCATGATCACAGCAACAACCTTCTCCTCAGCACTCCCCATCGCCAATCAAAGAAAACCCAGATCCCTAAAGGCCAATACCCCAACTGAGTGCTCTCGAAAGCAAGAAATCCTTCAAATAGAGAGTGATTTCTCGATGTGGGAATTCACCCAAATGGGTAATTTAGCAGAGTATGCCCCACCCAGAAATGGTATTGTGAAGGGATCTCTAGATTCAGGAGAAGCCAAGCAAACACACAACAGCGAAGCGAAAAAAGAGAAATAGTGCCCGAATTGTAATGAAGAGATCGGATCCGGAATATGAATTGATGCAGTACTTGGTGTGGTGGGTCGCTAACTGCTGTACGGCGATTGCCACTCCCTTACGATAAGAACGAAAACCACAGCCAAAACAACTCAACTTTCCAACTCTTTTTCCCACATGGCTCTCTCTCTCTCTCTCTCTCTTCCCCCACTCTGTACAATCGGAAGGTTTTTGGGTCACTAAATCTCATCCAGTGGATCTTAATTTCAGAATCAAGCGGCGACATTGGTCTGGCCATCTAAATTGGCCCACTTCAGTCAACCCCAATTTCACTCCAATGCCTCTGTATTCGTCGGTTTAAGGTTCCTGGATCGTTCCTTACCCCAATTTTACCAATCCCAAAACTGAATTTATTAGCATGAGGCGTTACAAAATCTACAAATTTTCAGAAACTGTTTCAGGGTTAACCCCAATTTAAGTGCATTTTTAGATTTTTCCTCTGTTTTGACTATTTGGGTTATCTTAATTTTTGGATTTTTACAACATTCTTGAGAAAAAGAATGATGGGTGGGAAGAAATCATTGTGCTTTTGGAAGAGAGAGAAGGAAGGAGAAGATGGATGTGAATCTTCTTGCTTTTACAACAGAGGTTGTACCTTTTTCTCTTCTTCTGTGTTTGGTAATTATCAACTTTACCATCAATAATTGGAAGGGGATTTTGAAAATGGTTCTCTGATAAAATCTATCACATCAAAGAATGGTACAAATTAAATTATTGATTGATATTTCATTTACTTTGAATTCCCACATGACCTTTCCATCTTTTTAAGTGCTCATGTATGAACAAAGTTGCTTCTGTACGAAAAGGTATGACTATAAAATTCTCTCTCTCTCTCTCTCTCTCTCTCTCTCTCTCTCTCTCTCTTTTTTGTTATTATTTTTATTTTTTAGAATTTGTGATTCTTCCTTTCATTGTCCTCTTTTTATTTGTTATTATCATTCTGAAAGACCAGCCAAGCTGGGATTAAAATTCAAAAGCAAAGATGGGGAGAGAGATCCAAGGACTTCAAAGAATATTCTAATAAAGAACAACAAATTATAGAGGATTTATTCAAGGTTGTATTGCCTTTTCTTCAACTGTTTGTTATGCTGAAGAACCTATGGCCACCACTCATTTTTAGGATTTTATCGGGTTTCAATTCCTTTATTCCTTACACGGACTAGAATTGGTTTTACTCCTTAATAAAGTTGTTTGCTCAAGAAGAAGAAGAAGAGGAGAAAGAAAGAAAAAAAAAATGGGTCGGAATCCAAAACATGGATCTTTTGAAATATTCTTGCAGGAAAATAATGTAGATTATAGACTTGATTAAGGAATATTCGAATAAATGTGATACTTTGGATAAAATGACATTAAACATACTTGATAACTTCACAATAGTTATATTTCAAAATCTACAATATTTTACCAAAAACGCCTACTTGGAGCCAATAAAATACCAACTGTGGGGAGCGGCAAGAGAGGCCCAAACACTAAACAGTTGAGAAGAAATCCATGTTTTTGCTCATATCTTCATAGCCAAGATTAAGAAACACAGAAAAAGGCTGAAAGTTGCTTCCCAAATTGAGACAATCTCAGATAGAAATGCATTTTTTATTGAATCACAGTATCTATCTATCTAGTCATAAAATGGAAAGGATTAAGTTCTTAGAGGCACAGCCTAACAGAGCTGAACTAACTAAGCAGAAGCACTACTTGTACATTATTTCTTCCAAAGAGGCAACAAGGTAGATGTGGCAGTGTCGGATTCATAAGAGGCTCATCACATGTCTTTTTACAGTTTAGAAGGAGAATTGTACCATCCCCATGGCTCATTGGATACATACTGAGTAACCTGCTTTACAGTCAGATAATTATCAAGTCCCCTGTTGGTTCAACAAAACAAAAGAAAAACAGTCAGCCAATCAGATATTTCACATTTTTTAAGGAAGTTAATAAGTTACTAGAAAATCATATTCCCTATTGTAACAAAAAAAACCTATATTCAAACTCCAAACATGCTTCATGGAGTAGTTTCTAAAATAGTTTTCAGAATATAATCCTCAATTGTCTTTTTTATATACAAGCGAACTTTTTTAAATAATCAAGAACAAAGATTGTATTTCCAAACAGCTAAATCTTTTTATATTAAGAAAATAAAATGGTCCGAGATTTAGCCTAAAAAAACTGTTTGGTAATACACCAAAAAAGCATGTTACTTTGGTCTTTTTTTTAGGTATCTTCCAATAACTTTTGAGTATAAAATGGGGAAATATACCATTCCCCTAGTTCTCGACCAAAGCCACTGCGTTTGTTGCCTCCCCATGGGGCTTGAGTAAAGCATGGTTGTGAGCAATTAATCCACACAATTCCTGCCTGTAAAGCCTGCAGGAAAGAAATAAAGAAACACTTCGTTCAGAAATTTGGAGCTTTTTCATTTACATTATACTGTATACTGTATAGTAATGATGATTGCAATCCTCACCTTGGTTACACGCTCGCACCTTTCTAAATCATCCGATATCACAGCAGCACCTAGCCCATATCTGCAATATAGAACAATTAAGCGTCAGAACAAGGTTTCCAGCTAAACACCAAGCTGGAGAAATTTACTTACATTGTATCATTTGCTAATTCAATAGCTTCATCTTCAGAACTAAAAGTCTTAACACATAGAACAGGTCCAAAGACTTCTTCTCTCCATATTTGCATGGAGGTTGTAACATTGGTAATGATGGCTGGTTCAACGAAGTATCCCTTATTTAGGTGCTAAACATAAGTAGCAACGAAGTTAAATTAGTTCCAGAAAATATATATCAAAAAGAAAAGACAAAAAATAAAAGTGATGTATAAAAATCAATTTTTATACCTTTGGGCGAACTCCACCAAATAGAATCTTTGCCCCTTCGCTCTCAGCAGTTGAGACAAACTTCAATACTTTCTCATACTAAATTTTTAGATTACCAAAAATTTGTTAAAGAATTAATAGTGTGAATATAAAATTTTAACCAGTGTGAATTACACGAGAAGCATTCTTTAACTGATAACTAAAGAAACCAATGATTAAATCATTCCGCACATTTGATAGAGGGATTGCATATTAAAAAATTACTTGTTGTAAACTGATAACTGATACAAAAAAAAAAAAATAGACATATATATATATATGGTAATCAGTAAACTTGACATTTCAACATCAGGGGTTCGAAGGCAGCAATCACCTTTGTCATATTTAAATAGAGTTAATAACAGGGTTGTATACTTTTCCTATCCCAATGGCCAATAAATATGATAAAAATTTTGGACAAAATTCCACCAAAAGTATCAAATATGTAAGGCATAACCAAAGAGCTAAAATGGGTTACTAAAATTCTGCAGGGCAAGTCACAGCATTAGTCAAGACTACCAAGCTTCCAATAATATGGGGAACAGATGAGAATATGCCAAGCATTGGAAAACAACAACATTTGATAGGAGCCAGAATTAAAAAATAATATAACAACAAACAACTGTCATTATTCATTCACTAGATGAGTTACTGTGAAGGCGGACTGTTTATCTTTTCTTTGTCATAAAGAACTCAGGAAATAGAAATAACTCTTCTCTAACCTGTCCTGCACTAACAACAGGACCAAGCCTGCAACCTTCTTCTAAGGGATCTGAAATCTTAATGTTCTTGCACCACTGCACGAGCTTATCCAAAAATTCATCAGCAATGTTTTCCTGAAATAACAGAAAGAAGAAATAAATATTTCTAACTTAAAAAGAAATGGTAAAAATCCATAGCTTATTAACTATGTCAGAAAATTGTTCGACCGGTTGGATTTACACAATTATCCTAGGTTAAGACAAATTCTTATTTTCCATTAAACCCAGAAGATCCCACCAAAAACAAAAGGTGCCGACACCCTTGACACAACTAAGGGAGAAAAGGTCGTATTATGATAGAAATGAATACATTTAATTGCTCATTAAACAAATCATCTAGATCATTGTACATACATGTACAAGTAGACGAGATGTGGCACTGCAAATCTGACCATTTGTCCAAAAGCAACCAAAGACCGTCCATTCGGCAGCTATAAATCATAGGAAAGATAACAGTCAATAATATCAAAACCAGGAATAGCATAGATCCAATGCATAATTTTCAAAGGTGGGTCCCTTTTCAAAAGGTAAATTTAATTTGATTAAACATTAAAAACTGAAGTCTATGACATGAAGATTGAGCTCCGAATGGTACTGACCCTTATCGAGGTCAACATCCTCAAAGACAACAATCGGACTTTTTCCACCAAGTTCCATAGTCACAGGCTGCCAGATGAAACAGATAAGGATAAAAAAGTATCAAATGATGTTCTAAAACTTCTACTAATTAAATGTAAAAGTTAAAACTCGCTGAAATTCAACCTTGACAAGTTGAGCAGCTGCTGTCATAATCTTGCTTCCAGTAGCACCACTCCCAGTAAATGCAATCTATCATCAAGTACTTATATATTAGTTGGACTGCATTTTATGTTTTGTGAATACAAGAAAATACTTATAACGATAAACATACCTTGTCAACATGAGGATGAGATGCTAGAGGAGCACCAGCTTCTGGGCCGAATCCAGTCAGAATATTAAAAATACCAGGTGGAAGACCAACGTCTTTACAGATTTCAGCCAGCTCCAAACAGGTGCTGCCAGAAAAAAGTTAAATATTATGTAACAACAAACGTTGAAAAAATACTGCAAAGAAAATCAAGTTCGTACGACTAATGATGACTTACACAGATGCCAATTCTGATGGCTTCAATATTGCAGCACACCCAGCAGCTAAGGCAGGTGCAACTTTCCATGCAGCCATCAATAGAGGATAGTTCCTTCAATATAAAAGACGGACATCAATGAAGTTTGATGTTTATGGAAAAATTAAAATAGAGCACCATGGTTCACACAGGAAAAAGAAAATGATACAGGTAGACAAAGAGGAGGACAAGCCTAGAGGTTAATAACTAATAACTAGAACGTCCTCCCAAGTATGCTTGTTGTTCAAATTAAAAGACAGAGTTAGGAACTGAAACTATTACTTTATCCTTCTGATAAATTTTGGTATATTTAATATCTTAATGAGATTACGAGGTTTAAATTAATGACCACTTTTTCGAACTTGAATTGAAGAGCCATGTTTGGAAACAGAAGTTTCATGAGAGACGTGAGTTGACTATGATTTTAAAAATAATAATAACAGAAATTGTAATACTTCAAACAAAATTGAGAAGCTGCCAAGAAAGTACAAGAAAATTCAAAGCAGTGAGAGGCAACAAGTACCAAGGAGTAATCAACCCAACAACTCCAATGGGTTCTTTAAGAACGTAGCTCTTGAATGTCTCCATGGGCACGGAAACAGGAGCTTTTTGCTTTGCATCCAACCCTTCGGCAAGGTCTGCATAGTATTCGAAGCACCCAGCAACATCATCCTGTACAATGTTAACAAACATTGAAGGTAGTGAAAATTGTTACAACCAACAATATATCTTTAACTTAAAGTAATTGCCATACGATGTCCCATGCAGCTTCTTCCAGAGGTTTTCCAGAGTCTATCGTTTCAAGCTTTGCCAATTCTGACTTCCTCTCTGTTATCTGTGAGAAAATAACAACGGGGTTTCAGGATGGATAACATTAACACCTCACAGATAGAGATTCAAAAAATAACCCAGCACGTGCCTAGTATATCTAATGGGCGGAGAAAGCCTCCTAATATAAATTTAAAGGTATACAACTTCCAAGTTTACCAAAACTTCTTAATTCTTACAACATAAATGTGAATTTCAACAAAACTTGTGCATGGCGGTTAACATGAAAGCATTCCTAAGTGGAAATAGAGATAACAAGCTGGCTTTATCATGATATCTGATTCCTCTATGAACTCTGTTGAGAAGATGGATAATATCTTATTTTGCATTTTCTATTGATCCCATCAGAAAACCAAGCCATTCCTTCAGACAACCAGACAACCATAATCACAGATGAAAAATAATAAAAGCATCATAGGGAGTGTAGGACGATGATGGAGGAGGTGCTGCCATTACCTCTTTTCAGGACAGAGGAAGTATGTTGTGGCAGGGTTTTCTTTTTCTGTTTTGTGGGGTATTTGACTTGGGAGGAATACTAGAATTTTTATGGGTTGAGAGTTCTTGGAAGGAAATTTGGAATATTGTTAGATTTAATACCTCTCTATGGCAGTTTCGAAGGCTTTTGTGGTTATCTGTTGGATGCTATTCTTTTGGATTAGAGTCCCTCTTATGGTCTCTCATGTTTTTTATATACCCAATGTGAGAAATTCTTGAGGAGAAAGCTCAATTTCCGATGACAAATAATAATATAATAAATGCATCACAGATACTAAACCTCAGTCCAACAAAATAACAGACATCAGATACTAAACAAAGACCAGATACTAAACAAAGACCAGATTACAATTAAATAAAAGTAAGACATCCATGCGACGCACCCTAGCAGCAATAGCACGCAAATATTTGGCGCGCACAGCCCCCGTAGCCGCAGCCCAATCCTTGCCTTTATTCCTCGCAAGGGCTTTCCGGGCAGCATCAACAGCTAATTCTACATCTTCCGCAGTAGCCGCGGGAATAGATCCTGAAGCATAATTGGTAAAACACAATCGTGAGATTTGACCGCTTTCTACCCCCCGATCCTTGTACTATTTACATCTTTCATTCATGCGATTAAAAGTTGGCGAAAAGAAAAAAAAAAAAATTATTATGAACAGTAACGATCAGATTGAGTAGAAAGAGAGAAGAAGATACCGATTATTTCTTCATTAGCGGGGTTGACGACGGGGATACGTTTCTTGAGAACTGGTTCCCTCCACTCGCCACCGATGAACAGCTGCCGTTTGGGAATAGGAGTCGCCATTTCTACAGAGCTCCTCTCTCTTCAGTGTCGTCGGAAAAGTAGTGGGGATGACAATGGCACCAAATTCTGCGATGATCTATATACCAAGTTCCGAAAATTTTGTCCGTTCTTCTCCAAATTTCTTCTCTCGAATTTGGTTTAGTCGATTGACTATCTTTCCACAGTCAAGAATCAAGAAGATACCTCCAGAAAAGAAAAAACCCGTATCCCATTTTTTCCTCGAAAATAAATTATCTTAAAAAGAAATGAAAAGAAAAAGACGTTTACCAATTATTGGATATGAAAATTATAAAAAATACATATATTAAAAAAATAATAAAAATTTGGGACCACGCCACCGGTCTACTACAAAAGTCTGGGATACATGGTATGATATGTTAATGCGTACCAAATTACCAATAATTTTGCGTTGGCTAACTTTTTGAGATTTTCTAAAGTTATAAATAGTACTAAACATGGTATAGCTCAATTAATATTCAGATTGCGACCTTCAAAGAAAAAAAAAAGTTTAATATTAAGATTGCGTAAATTATTTTTTGTTTAATTTTTAGTTTGGTTCTTAAAATTTTTAATTTGCCTTTATTTTGATTGTGAACTTTTAAAATATTTCTAAACTGTTGAAGTTTGTTTGATTTGGAAAATAATTCCTAGATTGGTGTAAGTTGTTGATTTCTGAAAATGGAAAAAATATATTTATTGGGATTGTTGGAGTTGATAAGGACATTTTGGTCTTTTGACAAGAAAAAAAAGAAAAGAAATTTGGATTGTTTTATTGAGGTGATACGTGTATTGGTGTGGGTTTTGGTATGTGTGACAAAAAAGATAAGATAAAGAAATGAAATGAAAGAAAAGAAGAAGAAGGTAAAGAGCAGAGAGAGGAAACGAAAAGAAGAGGGGGAAGGAAGAAGATGCTCAAGTATATTAATTCGAAGAAAAATTTGGTAATTATGCTTGCTCCTTATGGAATATTTAGATTTAAAATAGAGGTCATGGTTTCCTCGTTTTGCTTGTGAATGTGTGGATGCTTCAAGATTACTTTAGTGAAAGAAGAATCAGTTAGGGTTTGTGAGGAAGAAGAAGAAGAAAAAGAAATGTAGAATTGATGTTGTTGGTCTCGACTGAAGAGGGGATGTCATTGTTAGATTTCTTGGGGTTGGATTGATGGCGGTCTAATGGGTTTTGGTAAAGAAGAGTTTCATGAGGTAAAGATAGGCAGAAGAAATGAAAATGAATGGTGGGTTTGAAATCCGTGGAAGAAAGGAGAGAGAGTGGAGTTGTGGGTGGTTGATGTTGAAGAGAGAGAAAGAAATCAATGATAAAAGTAAATGTTAAATAAAGATAAAAAAAAATGGGAGAAAGATAAATTGAGTGGGTTTGGTGGGACACATGTAAGAGACAATGGGAGAGAATAGGTGATGGTTTTAAATGAAGAGAGAAAATGGGGAATTTGGATAATTGATTTATTTCGAAGTTATTACTGTGATTAATTTGGAATTAGTTTATGTTAGAATTAAGTAAAAAAATTTGGTATTAAATCGATATTTCAAGTCGGACATGAATTGGAGCGACGTACGACTCGGTTCGAAGGATTTGTGAGTGGTTACTTTACTAAATGTTTTGGATATTATTATAGAATTTCTGAGAAATTATATATATTAGGTACGATTTAGCATTTCTGCTGATAATGAAAGAAAATGTGTTTGTTCGAGAATTTAGAGATTTTTATGAGAATTTAGAAATGCTTTGTGATTTTAAAGAAATGTTTAAAGCTTATAAAAGGTATTTAGAAAGTGATTTCAGAAAATGACTATAGAATTTCATGAAAAGAAAGATTTCAAAAATGATCTGAGAAAGTTAAAAATGTTCTTAGAGAGAAGAAAATAAGAATTTTATAACAGTTTATGAGATTGAGAAAGAAGTTTTCAAACCACTATGTTATTATATCCAAGTGATTACCCGTATGTTATGTGAATGTGTTTCTATAGTATACTCATAAATAGAAGATATTTGGGACCATTTGACTTCACGTGTTGAGATAATTATTCTGCTATGCGTATTGAGATTACTCTATGCTAGTAGATCATAATTATTCTGCTGTGTGTATTGAGATTACTCTACGCCAGTAGACTATAATAGAATATGGATACATGTGTGGTGTTGAGTTTTATCTACCTGTTTTATGATTGAAGAAGAATGTTGTATATGTTTTAGAATGAGTTTTATAGCAGGTTGAGAAGTTGGTGTAACTAGGTCGCAGGGGACGCAGGGGAATGTCGGGGCGATTAGGGCCAAATCCGGATTCCGAATCCTGAACTTGGGAGTGTTGTCTTTTCGATTTGCCTGGAAAGAAATTGTTTGTTACAAGTTTGATTTTTAGAAGTTTACTAGGTTTTATGAAATGTATAATGTTGCTCCAGTTTTACTCAAGTTTTATGGAATTTAAATGAGAATGTTTATTACTTCAGTTTTATGAAGTTTGTTTTAACAACTGAATTTTCAGTTGTTTATGAAAAAAGTTTTACAAGAATATTTTACTATTAACCTACCACCCACGGAGCTTCCCAGCTCACTGTTTATGTTTTGTTTTTCCCCAAGGATGTACTTGAATATCTTAGTATCTGAGTTTCAAGAGAATTTTAGTTCAACTTCTACCACCCAGAGTAGTTGAGGTTTTGCATATCACTTTGTACGTACATGTAGTTGTTGTAAAGTTGTTAGTTCCCCTTTTGATAGAAGATAATGTTTAGAATGGACGTAAGAATGGTAATTCTTTTGAGTTTGTTATTTTATTGTACATTCATTCGAAGTTTGTTAATCAAGGTTCAGGTCAAAGTTAAGATGAAGTTGACCATTGACTTCGTAGTTAGTCGGGGTCCATGGTCGACGTGACTCGTTCTGAGACTAGTAGGTGTTTTGGGACGGGTCGTGTCACATGTTGTATGAAATTATGTTCGAGGTTTGCAATTGCATATGCTTTTGAAGGTTGGCTTGTCCTTTGAAGAGATATGCATAGGTATGAATATTTTGGTCAGCTCGACATGCGCATGCTACCCATTAGGGATAGTTCGACTCGACGGTTAAGAAGGTCCGAGTTGTTGATTCATTTCTAAGTGATTCGTTGCGATAATTTACTATTATTAGGTTATGGTATAACGACACATGGGAGACGAGAAATCACCTCCAACAAAGTTGTTATTATTTACTCTTAATTGTTTAACAAATAGATGATGTAATTTTGTAATTAATGTATTGACGTGTGTATTGATTTTAAAAGTAAAAAATATATATATACTTTTTAAAAATATTTTCAAAATCTAACGGGCTTAAATTTTTTTTCTTTCAAAGGAACAAATATATAAATGATTTGATTGTTGATGAACTAGAGTAGTTTTTTTTTCCTATGAAGTGAAATGTTTGTTTATATATTTTTTAGTTTAGAAGGTAAGGACCTATTTGGAATTCAATTATATTTTTTATTTTCATACTCACACGATCAAATAGATCAAGTGAATATGTATTTCACGAATTTATTTTCAAAAAATTTTAGATTGTAAAATTCTTAAATCAACATTGTTTTAAAATTTGAATTTGAAATCTTAAAATTCAAAATTATATTAAGAAAAATAAATTTTTTTATAAATATACTACTCATATTATAAACTAATTTTATTATTTAAAATGTAAAATATAATATATTATAAAATTATACACTATTATAAAATAAAAAATAGAAAAAATTTATAATATATATGTTAAAAAATTAATTAATATTGAACCAAATATTTAGTTGTAAGGACTACTTATCTACAAATATATTATTAATAACTTTTTAACTACTTATCTGCAAATATTTATTAATAACTTTTTAAATTGAGATCCAATTACAAATTTGAAAACATTAATACAAACTCTATTATTTATTATTAAATAGTTTGGTTTTAGTTTCTCAAAAGAAAGAAAGAAAAAGAAAAGGACTTGTTTTTAGATCAGCCTAAAAATATCAGCGACAATAACACGTGGAGCGTATAATTATTGCAATTCAGCTGGGGGCCGTCATAAAAAATTATCTTGCGTGTCGGCTCTCTCTTTATTTTTAAAATGGATTCCTCTTTATTTATTTGTATGTACATACATTACATAATAACCGGTCAAAGCTTTGAATTTTAATGCTTCCTTTTATATTTGAAATAAATATATTCAATTATTTAAAATATTTATTTCATATATAAATTTAGATTTCCACATCCCCATGTTATATTTGTATATATTAGTAGATGTTCGAATTTTCAATATTTTGGTCGATGATATTCATTGGTCCGAATGAACTATGATTAATTAAGAGGGGAATGAGTTCTAACACATGATGGCCACTTATCTTAGTAATTTCTATGTATTTTTCGATACCAAATGTTGTAAGGTCGGACGGTTGCTCCATGAGATTAGTTCAAGATGTGCGTAAAGTGGCTCAGATACTCACATATATAAAAAATATATATATTTAGGTAGGTTACTTTTAAAAATTTCAAACATTATAACCAAACTATAGGACCAAATTAACCTATAAACCAAAGAAAATTAAGGGAGGTACCAAGAGAAGAGATTGTTACTTTTTACCCAAAACGGAAAGATTTGGTTATTGCGGCATTAAAAGCGATAAAGAAATAGGTGACGTGGCCGACGTGTCTGACATCGGTTTGGATTTGAAATCAAAAGTTTTGAAGTTACAAATAAAAGACAAATTTTCCAAAATGGGGTTTTGAATGTTCATCATCACGTTTCCCGCAACTGACAGCCGACAAGGTTGAATATATCATATCATATCTGCACCATACTTGGGCTGCCCGGCCCAGCCCAGCCCACAACTGAATTTGGGCTTTGGATCCGTTAGTCGAATTCAAAGGCGAAAAGAAAGCCCACATTTATGCATCATCCAGTGAAGTTTGAATTATTCTGGGGTGGTAAAATTATTTGTTTCTCGTGATAAATAATTGTTTTTAATATGAATTATTTCTTATTTGTTCAATCTTCAGAACGATTCTAAATATACAAATGTTCTCTTTCTTTCTTTTTAATCACAATATGAATAAAATGGTTGTTTTTACTTTTTACTTATAAATTGCATATACAATTTAAAATTAAAAAATAACACATTCTTTTAATATTTATTTTTTAAAAATAAAAAAGAAAAACGACCCACAAAATAAATAAAAATGGTTATGAAATAGACCCCAATTGTTATTTTAGAGTAGATTTAAATACGAGTTTGTTCCATTTATTTTTGGCTTTTGTTTAATTTGGTGATTGTACTCTCAAAATGTCAATTTTAGTTGTTCTAATTTGAATTTTTGTTCGTTTTGTTTATATACTTTCAAAAAACGTATGTTTTAGTCTTTGTATTTTTAAGAAGAGATCATTTTGGTCTCTATTTACACACGGTTACTACAAATTTGATAAACAATATAATTTCTTTAATACAAATTTATGGCTAAAGGTTAGCGAGTCAAGTGTCGTGCAAAATTTTATATAAAAATAAATTAGATAAAAGTAAAAATGAAAGAACCAAAATGATCACTTTTTTTTCAAAGTATATAGACCAAATCAAGTCGTTCAAAAGTATAAAAACTAAAATGAACCAAAGTTGAAATATATGATCAAAATAGACGTTTTAAAATTATAACGACCGAAAAAAACCAAAAGTATAGAGAGTAGGTTAGTATTTAAACCAAAGAGCTTTGTGTGGTGGTGGATGTTAGGTAGTGTTGTAATTTTATCTTGTATTGAGTCACAAACAAATCAACTAGAAATTCCAATAACTAATTCAAAATTACTTGTAATTTTGTAATTTTATCTTGTATTGATAAACATGGTATTTGTAATTGTTGTGTCTATCAAAAGTAGTTCAAATCACAAATGAATTAAAGAAACAAAATCAATTTTTTCTTCCAAGTACAACAAAATATGTGAGAGATATGAGAATTTGAAGTTCTCGTCTTATTCTCAATAGCTCAAACATAATTAAGACATCTTACTCTTTCGCTGGAGATTAAAAGTATCATTTGTTCCAATATTTGATGTACTAAAAAAATTAAATGGTAACTTTTTAGTTTTTTTAATATAATAATATGTTATAAGAAATAAGAAACCAATATTAAATATTAAATATTAATTTTGGTCTGAATCTTCTAACTTCAATTGTATTTGTCAAAATGAAAATAAATGGACTTTTATTTTTGTTTGATGCGATTTAAATGCATTAATATTGGAATTTAAATGCAGTACCAATGGTCAAAAGTTAATATTAAGATGAGTTGAATTTGGAAAGCAAACCATAATAACTCCAAGAAAAAGTTTATAATGGTTCATCAATTTTGACATTTATTGTAAAAATTAGGTAAAAAAACACTCTTGCTCTTCGAGAAACGGTTTAATCCAATTTTAGATCTCGTTTAGTTATCATAATGAAAATGTTATTTTATTTACTATTAATTGAAATCATAAACGAAATAAAATATATATAAATTACTACTTATACTACTATGTCTCTTTATTCTTTCTAGTTAATTATAAACATATTATTGTACTAATATTTTTTCAATTACAATGATAATACATTTTAATTTATTTTATTATTTTATTACTATATTATTGACGGTAACTATTTTTTATAGTAGCAATTTATTTAATGTTAATAAATTTCAAAATTATATCAATTAAAATACTTTTTATCAATAATTCAATCATCTTTTAATATAAAATGTTATTGGATTCTATTATTATAATATTTAATAATAATGAATTATATTTTTAAAAAATCTATTGATATTAATTAATAATAACGAAATAAAATTAAAAAATTATATTTAATTTATAACATTTTGTAATAAACTCACACATCAACTAATAAAAATAAAATACTAATAGTATAAATGAAAAAGAAATAATAAAAATATAAAATAAATAATTAAAAAGTAATGACAATTTTCATTTGAATTCTATTCTTACGATGTGATAAAAAAAGATTTAGGTGGAAAGGAAACAATTGCTGACAATTTTCATAGAAAAATTCAGAAAATAATTAGTAATGTGAATAAATAAATAAATAATAGAAAATCTATTTTTTCTCCACGTTTTAATTTAATTTTTTTTCAAATATTTAAAATGGTTTTTTTTTTTTTTTTTACAAAATGCATATTCTTTATAAATTTTAAATTATATTAACTAAATTCCACCGGCTAAAAGTTACTAAAGTGTTATCATAACCAAAGTTCCCGAAGGACTTGCTAATTCATTCATTTTCGATGATTTTAAGTGGAGTGGACAAGAAGATTCGAATCGAACTTATAATTTATAGTGGTGAGAGTTAAAATACAAACTCTTCTGATTTTTTCACATAATTTGGGCTTAAACAAAAACTAACGGCCCAATCCAACTTGAGATATGACAAGGCAACTGTGGTTTTTTAACTATAATTATATTTGAATTAATATCATAAACCAAATTTACATAGACCAAAAGAATGGTTTAAATTAATAAATAAAAACTCACATTATAAATCAGCATTTTCCATATCAAATTCCTTTAGTTTTGCCCTAAGATTTGGAATTAACAAGTTTGAAGATGCGATTCTTCACCCTGGTTTACGTTTCTGATGCGAAGTTTCTAGAATCAAACAAAAAGAGAAACGGAAAATCCCGACGAAATTAGAATCAGAAAAAGGAAAAGATGAAATCATATGAACAAAAAGAATAATCAAATTATATATCCTCTATGAAGTACATGTATGTGTATAACCAAGAGAAAGAAAAAACGAAGATATACAGGTCAAAGATGAGCTATATATATATATATATATATGGATACCGATGAAAGAACAGGAAGCCAGAGTGAGAAGAGAGAGACAGAGGAGGAGGAGGAGAAAAATGAAGGAATTCTAATTCTAATTCTTATGAGTGGTTTTATTGTATTTATCTTTGATCCATTGGAGGCCAAGAGAGGTTCCTTCCTTGACCTTTTTGACGCCATTGGAGGCCACAGCTTTGGTCTTCCCAAGCCCTTCTCCGACCTTCTGCTTGTACTTGGCACCGCCGCCGCCNAGGAGCCGTTTCCTGCCATGGATTGATTCTCAGAAACCTCAGAGGCTAGGGTTCGAGAAAGAAATTAAAGAAGATAGAGAGAAAATGGATAGAGAGAGAGAGAGAGAGAGAGAGAGAGAGAAAATGGATGGATGAAAGTTTCAGAGATGAAATTGGGGGTTTTATATAGCGAGGCCGAGGCGACTCAGAATCTGATTCAAAGCGTGTGGCGTGTGGAATCGCCAAATCAAAAGTCATACACTATTTGCCTTGCTGTTGCTGCAGTGGAAAATGGAAATGGAATGATCAAAACGGTTACACATTCAAAACGGGTCGGGGCACCCACGAAAATAAGAATATAATTTAGGTTTAAATTTCAAGCTAATTTTTTTGGTTTGGATATTATTCTCGTGTATTTACTCCCAAAATGTAATATTTATTTTAGTCCCTATATTTTAAAATATCATTTTAATTATCTCACCATAAATTTGTATCAAAGATTTGCTATTTTTTTAACTTATATAAAATTTTATAAATAAAAACAAATAATCACCTTTCAAAATTAAAATAGAAACAACTTAAAAAGATATTTTGAAAATAAAAAATGGGGATCAAAAGAATATTTAAACCTAAATTTTTTCTTTGATTTCTTAACTTTTTAAGGATGTTAGATTTGATCAAGATGTCTTGTTGGTCGAGGAAATTTGTTAAAGTCAAATCTGACTTTTATTTGTATGTTGTATGAGTGAGTATATGGATATCTTATAATTAATAATAAATTTATATACTATTATGGCTTTTGAGATTTGTACATCGAATTGTTTGTTACAAAAATAGTATTAAATATTTATGTAATTAACTTTTAAGCTTATTTGATCTTTCTACCAAAACTGATGATCAATTCTAGAATTGCGTTTCTAAAAAAATAAATAATAAATAAAAATAAAATTCCGGACGTGTATTTCCAGTACTAAATATACTCGTATAATAGCAATTTTATTTTTAGTTTCCATGTAAGTTTTTTATAATAGCTTTTAACCGTATAGTTTTAAATTTTTAGTTTTTTCTTTAATTTTTATTCTAAAAAATGGAAAACAGAACATAATTATTTTTTCAAAAGAAAAAATTCAAATAAAAACAATGTTAAATAGTTTTTTTTATTTGACGGAGCAATATTTAAATAGGTTAAGTTACAAGTTTACTTTCAAACTTGAAAAGAGGTGTCAAGTGAGTTCTTAAATTTTAAAAGTTGTTAAACTTTTATTTAGTGTTTGATAGCTCCTTCAAATTCAATGTCCAATAGATTCTTAAACTTTCAATGTTGTTGGATAAATCACCCTTAATTTTGTGTTTAATAGTCCTCTAACCTATCCAATACTTTTAGAACTCAGACCCAAGACTTTAAATTAAAAAAAAAAAAAGTTGAAACAAGAGATTTATTAGACACTAAATTGAAAATTCAATCTGTTAGATAATTTCAAAAGAAAAGATCATTTTTTCACGCTAAATTTGACAAAGTATATCAATTATTTAAACTTTCAATTTCATTAGATTTCATTTTAAACTTTGAAAGTATTGCTATTTCACCTCAAACTTGAAAAGGCATAGCAAATTTTACTATTTAGTAAGTTTTCAATTGAAAATTTGTTGAAAAACAAATCCTCATGTGTCAAATGAATTATAAAACATAAAATTGGTATGAAATTAATAAAAAAAATTTCTGAAATATTAAATTTTGATTTAGTTATTTAATAGTTGATTTTATACATTAATCAAACATTTCATTAAATTAGTAAATTTTTGGAGTTTTTACATTCTATTTTAAAAAATAAAGGAGTGAATTAACAAAAATTGAATGAAAGTAAAAATTACGTGGAAAAAAAAAAACAAATGACGCATTAAAAAAATTATTAAATACTATTTTGTTGTCATTCGTTAGTATTGGTTCAGGTAGATGTTAGATCCAGAAGCTTCTAAGGCAGAAGTCGTTAACTAACCAAAACCAACCATCACAGCCAACCTGACTCTACTTTCGGTCACCGCTTACGCCACCTGAAATTTATTTGGCTATTTCTGGGAAACAGAGGCCTGCTCTTTTCATACAACTTTATTTTATCTCGTCAAATCAAACCTTTGAACGGGGACCAAACTAACCAATATGAATATATTATGCACAGACAAGCAACAGTTCCATATATAAATATATATTGCTCATCGTTATCCAAGGAGAGGACAAAATACAATACTACATTCTAGAGGGCAAATTTTGACTTTCCATTTTCCAATATTTATAGCTTCTAATTTTAGTCTTCAAAATTTTCAAACCCATTCATACGTTATTTTCATCCTCTAATCTCACTCGTTATATAAGATTTTAAATATTGAATTACAAAAATGAAAAAGTGGACAAAATTTCATGTTTTTTGAAAAGAAAATTTAAACTTTTCAGCATGAATAGGCAGCCACACAATGTCTTAATTTCCAGATACACACACCACAATTTTGACAAATATACTAATAGAGTTGAAAACTTTCAAAGCTTGTGGCTAGTTTTCAACACGATCTAGAGAATTGGGGCAGGGGGAACACGAACAAGTAACAGACAGAACAAGTAAGAGAAGCATATATTATGCAGCATTTAAATATTAGTTACTGGCAAATATCTTACCTGATTCATTGTGATCATAGCTTTCCAGTATTTGCATGTATTTGCGGTAAAGCCAGCGGGACGTGTCAATTGCATCTCCACTAATTTCCACAGGGAAAACCTTTCTGCTGTTTTGCCAATCATTTGTAAGCTTTATCCACTCCCTCCTCCAATTACTCAATGGGAAGCCATAGCCATTCTCTAAACTTTCTTTCAAGAACTTGAAGTATATTGCAGCTCGAGGACCGTAGTAATCGCCCAAGAGTCCACTCCAGTACTTGTTTCCTGAATTGAGATGAAACAAATTAAACTGATGTACACAGTACATGATCTCAATGATACTGTAGTGATGGGGAATGTTATCCGGATGCAAATATTCATTACATATTACCGTAATCACGAAGCAAACTCGCTTCGTCCTCTGTGTTGTCAAACCACATGGTTATTTGAGTTCTTGCATTCCACTCATACTGTAATTCGAGATTAGAGCAGGCAAAAGTTGTAGTCAGAATTTGAATGTCGTTAGAATAAATGTCACATGATTGGTAAAATGGTCTTGAATTGGACCTGTTTTTCCTGCTCTTCATCTTGGGCAAGTTGCTTGGCGCTTTCTAACCAAGGTCCCAAAAGAAATCCCTCGTGGCAAGCCAATAATGTGTCTATATCTTTAACAAGTTCAAGAAACTGCTGGCTTAAGCTGGCCATTTTTTGGGCATCATATAACTGATATGCTTTGACAATTCTAAAGAACAGTTCGTTCGAGTATTTGGCTAGAGCTTGTCTAGTCAAGTCCACAAGGTCATACCTATGTGTAGCAACCAAAGCCATTTTAATGATGTAGACTTTAATAGAGAGAAAGGGACTAGATATGATATCTCTGTAGGTTTCAAATAATAGTATGTTTTAAATTCGTGAGTCAACCTGTACGTATTACTGCCAGAAAGTTGATCACTGCCAGCAATGAAAAGCTTTAATGCACGAATTACTTCAGAAGTGGAATACCACAGATGAGGTCGGTCAAACGTTGCATGCAAGAGGCTACCTACGCTTGAGTTGAAGTTCCTGTATCGGTCACGGTCAGACCCCTCAGGTAATTCTAAGATTGACGATGGATCAACATCAGGAAATGCCACAATTACGTCCCTGTTTTTGTCCTTTTCCATATTGACCGGGATATGTTAGTATAGCATATTTGAACATGATTCACAGATTTAGCCTTGCAAGATACGTCATGAGATGAAAGGAAGACGCTGACTATTCTAAAGCAATAAGACCGCAGACACTTGTTATGGAAGTACAAAAAGGCAGGGAAGAAAAAGGTTGAACAGACATTACAACTCTTCTCGTACTTACATAGGCACCGTCAGTGCAATTGTAGATGGTGTGATATAATACATCCCAGGCATCTTGTATTGAAGGGACTAATTGACCATAGCGTCTTATTGAATATTGATCAAGCCATTTCTGAAAACAAAAAGGTATTATTACAAATTTTAACCAATGAGAACAAAGTTTGCAAGAACTTCAGTGTGGTAAAAGGCACCAGGAAAATAAATTCAAATAGTATAACAAGGTGCTAAGGCGGGAGGTGCTAGGGCTACACTTCTCTCATGGATATGGACAAGCTTCATATTGCATATATCAGTTCCTTCTATCAGTGAATTACATGTAAGAAATCAACTGATCTATTTATGCCAATCACCTAGAGGGTAAGAAAACATATTTGCATTACCAAGGATGTGAACCAATGAACCGTAGAAAGAAGCAAAATCACTATGCTTTTCAAATTAATGGCTCTTCATTTTTTTTTTTTTTGGGATAAAAAACGAATTGAAAAAAAAAGAACAAGCTAAGGATAAGGGTCAAGAGGGGCCCTTCCACAAAACTAACACAGAAAAGCTCTCCAATCCTAAATGATCGTAGAGAGACTGTAATTACAAAAGAATTTCATATTTCTATGACACCACCACGAAGCTAGCAAATGAACACTATTATAAAAAGAATCCCAAGACTTAGTCTTGTCTTCAAAAGAGCGAAGATTCCTTTCCAGCCAAATACTCAGTCAAATAAATGGCTCTTCAGTATGTTCAATTTGGTCCATGTGATGTTATTTGTCAGTTTTTGAAAAGTGGAACATGAATGCAACTGGCAACGAAGTAAATGAGTCATCATATTCTAGAAATAATAGAAACGAAATGGTACCTTGACATCAACTTTGTTATGTTGAAAAGCCATTTCAGACATGAGATCATAGACAACAGGATTCTGTTCTATTCCTTCCATGGACATTCCTACCCCGACCTTTAAAAGAATACATGGGTGACAAAAAGGCGTGAATTAAAACATGGCGAAATAAATGATACACATCTCACAGATATATGAGAAAGACAGAAGGTGAGAGGGAGATTGAAATTAGTAATATATTTCTAGATATGTTAGCTGTACAGATGTTACTATCCCACGAGCAATATACAATACCCTAATAATCTGACAAACAATAAGAGAGAG